TGCACATACATAAGTTTTTCCGTGTGCATGGTCCTATTTCTAGTTTAGAAGTTCTTGTTTACTCGTAAGAGTTTTATGGAAACTGTACATTCTGTACTCGATTTATTTTAATCTGTTGTAGATTATTGTAAGGAGTAAATGCGTTTATCATAGTTATTTCGTGCAAATAATATTGTCCATGATGTGATTTCATTCTTGTGCAAATCGATCATCATCACCATCAGCTGCATGTTTATGGATTCCGATATACATCGACGTTCCATAGTGATGCAAGCCTAGGTGTCGTGTAGATTATCAGTGTTGTTTCATCGGAAAGAGTCTCTCTTACAGTGAATAGTGTCCAAATGTACGTGGTTTTATTGCTGGTGCTCTCGTATGTAACCTACATTTTGAAAGATTCGCAAACTTAGAGGATTGAGTGTGAATCCTTCAGTCCTGCATATTTCCCATTGTACCAACAATGCACAGATATATAATTCGAAATTAAAGTCAATAGTGATTTCCATGTTTCTAACATTATCATACTTATCCACTTCTAACTTTTTTGTGAGTGATTAGATCCAATATATGTTTCAAGACAACAGCTCGAACAAATGTCCATACAGTTTCATGCAAGAATTTCATAGGATATTTATAGAATATATAAGATTATCTAACTAAAAAATTGTCTGATCCGTTTGTGAATTTCACCATCATTGATTGCTTGAAAGAGGCGCAAGAATTTCATAGGATATTTATAGAATATACAAGATCCTCTAACTAAGAAATACTGAGTGCATTTAAACTTCACCCCATTGCACAAGCAAGTAGCTATCAGGACTCAGTAAATAATTGGATATCGCGATGGCGTTTGAAGCGAACGGTACTGTGTTTAGATCTCAAAGTTAACATCAACTGTGTGATGCATATACATCCATCTGACGAGTCCCAAGTAAGATGAATCGCGCGTCCTGGATTCCACTGTTAGCCGCTATCCATCCTTGCTTATAATGTTTGTTAATTAACGCAATATCGAGGCATTCCGCACAGTATACACATATGCCAATAAGAGGCTGATCAATTGCAGTCCTAAATAACAATGGGAAGCATATAAGTTAACAACATCAAGTGAATTTACGATATTATTAGATTGTCTAGTATATAGATTATGGCATTGTATTTCGAAACTCCACATTATTTAAACATTTTTTTTATTTTTATTTTCCAAATATATTTTCAAGAAATTCATGAACATATATCGTAATTTTCTTTTAGATGTTATCAGTAACCGCCATGCTTGGAGTGTTTCTCCTCAGTCAGTCAGTCAGTAACAACGTAGAACTTCGTACGTACGTACATCAGTTCGAGTTGCCACCGACCGAAGCTGCTACCTTGACGCGGTGGTCAGGCTTGCCTATCGTGATGACCCAACCGAGCTATATTGGCTGGAACATATGTTCCTGTAGGTTCTACCATGCCAAGCAGGTCGATTGGTGAACGGTAAGACTAAAAGCAGCAACTCAAGGTCTGAGGGCGAAGTCGTACTGCTGACTGTGGAGGGGTGTGACAGCAGTAAGGTGTTTCCTTCAGACAACCAGCAATTCAGCGATGCTGCCTTCCCACAAGGAGGGGTGGGGTTAGAAAAGGTCGACCCTAAAAATGTCACACCTCACCTTACCTCACGGATTTCCGTCTCCGGCGGTAAGGCCCTTTGAAGAACGGAGCTCACACGTCAAAAACCTTCCACGAAAAGGCCGTGCGCGACCGGCCTCAAGCAGTTGTCCCTTGGGCTCTGCGGTCACGCTCCCAGGTCGTCAAGACCAACACTAATCCAATTTCCTTTTCAGGTTCCTCAAGAAATACCCTTCCACGGTGTGGGCAGCCGGGAAGTGACATCAGCCCTCATACCCGTAACAGCACACGAGACCAAGTTGGAGTGTTTCTCCTAGGGTCAAAGCATGTAGAGCTTAAGATGTAATCATAATTCACGGCAAATCGTTTTGGTATCCATGTATTTAGTTTACTTTCAATAACAATGAATAGATTTCCAAACAATGATTTCAAACTGGTCCAGCACTATACCTGTGTGTATAAATTTCGAAGATACATTTGCTTCAACGAAACTATCTCTATGTATTTACAAATTTCAATGCACCATTGATGACGACGGCAGAGAAAAATCAACCAGCAAGCTCAATATCACTTTCTATAGTACTGTCTAGCATTTATATTGAAAGACTGGTTGAAATGGGCCAAAATCGTTTCTATTGGTATATATTCATTCACTCCTTGCGTTCCCTCGGATTCAGAGTTTCTAAATAACGTTGTAAATGTTTTTGAGTTTATTCCACTAATTCATAATTTCTTCTAGAATGATATCATCTATTCTTGGTTCTTTTTTTACTACCTTTAGTACTCTGGGATTCATTTGCGCAATCTTAAATTGCAGGGCCAGTAGGATGTCTCAAACTGAACACATGTATGTCAGAGCCTATGCAACAATATCATTAAAAGTCAATGCTGTCTTAGTTAATAAACACAGAAAAAAAAGCTAGATAAAATCTCATCATTGCGTACAGTAACAGTGAACCTATAGAATTTTTTTCATTTCGTTCTACTAAACAAAACGAAACTAAAACACAGCGAGATGATTTAATCAAGCGTGTGAATGTTACGTTCAATGTTCAGCCATTCCTCTGGCCATGCATTCAACATTCGTTGGTTCAGCATAATGATCACTTTCACCCTGATTGCGATAAACAATTTTTAGTATTTTCTTAATGGGTGCTCCACTTGCTTTATTATCGCCGGTTTTAGTCTCATTTTACACGTAACTCGCATAATTTACCGATGAATTAATCGTTCTCTCATTCCTATACCCTATAAACAAATGTATATTGTCGTCAAGTCAACTTCCCCATTAAGACACACGTATTCTAACTCTATGATTCACGTGTGACTTTGCAGTTAACCGTTATCTCCTACATTTGAGTATTATGGATGAATCCATTATTATCCTGGGAGATGGACATGTGAGAACACCTTGCGTTGTGTAGTGAAAACATCTCTCGGATTCAGCCGCGTCAGTAAAGCCTTCGAAGAACAATATTGTGAAATTGCTCAACTTACAAAGTAGTTAACGCTAGGTAAATTAATAACGGTGACTATTGGAAAAAAATTATTCCGTTTTATATCACTCTTCAAAAAATAAGGACCAATATCTATTTCATTAGACGAAACAGAATCAAAAAGTGTTTAATGTTAAAAAACTACTGTGCCGTAAATGATATTCTCCTGAATAAGTTACTTGTAGTAAAGTCCAATTGGAATTTTTCAAAAATAATTTCCTGTATACATTACTATATATACATGTTTTTGCACGTATGATTGAATTTACTTGACCTCCTGTCTGGTTATATGGATCAATAATGGTTTGACCATAATTCTATTATTGTTATGTACCTCGTTTCAATTGTATTAATCAATGTGATTATTATCAGAAGGGGGTTTTGTGGAGATTTTAGTAATTTCAAATGTTAAGATCATGCGTCAATTGAAGCTAGACCATCATAGAAAATCTGGAATCACTGGATGGCCGTTTCCTCCTATTGTGGGACTCCTCAGCAGTGCGCATCCACGATCTCATCTCGCCGGATTCGAACCCAGTGTGATCATAATTTGCACCCGTTAATGTTAACAGAACAATCAACTCAGCTGAGATAAAGAATAATCGCTAGATTCGGAAAAAACGGTAACCGATACCAAATTAACAATCGATGTCTAATTTCACACTTTTGGTGGTACGAAGACTTGAGGTAGTCTTCTTTTGTGCTCACTTGAGCAATCAGCACAATTGATGTTTTGTTTAGTTAGCATTAGTTACGATTGTTGGCTGTCCACTTTTAAATCTGCTTGCATTGTCAGATACAATATATTTATCTCTTTATTAAAAAATAACTGCCTGTTCAATTTTTACGACCATCTCTAACATCTTAAAATGACACGGTATATAGAAGCCACTGAAATTAATATAAAAAACCTGATCAAACTGACTAAATTCGTGTTTCGAGATCAAGACACTTATGGAACTTCCATTTCTGCTATAGATGAACAGAAGCACTGCACACAAGGTTTCGCCATTGAATATTTCAAATGGTTATAAGCTACTGTTGTAGTGAGCGAGAACTCAGGTGGGAAAAACCAATGTAGAATTACACAGTACTTTTATAAACTATGAAAATCAAACATTAAGTACATTATATGCACATCTATCAGTTGTCCTTTACATACTTCATGATTCTCCCGATTATGTTGTTATTCCAATTACTCTGTCTTCCTTCCTATCCTCTTCAATTCAATCTTCTGCTGGCAGTCATTCCACTTCCGACCGCTGATACATACTGTTAGCATAAGCATCATACACTACACTCTTGCTCTTAACATATGTACATTTAGTTCATCGCACGACTATTCAGAACACAAACCTCTTGACCATTTAAAAAAATTTATAATCAGGAGTGCTGGCAGATACAATCTCTCCCCATCATTGTAAGGATATTTTTCATTTAATGGTTCAAAGTACATTCCAACTAATCTCACAATTCAAATCAGATATACCACTGTTCAGGCAGGCAAACAGCATCAAATTTGTAAGCATAATGTTCGAATATCAAGTAATTTCGTTAGACTTTAGGTAACTCTGACTTCTTCTTTGTTGTCACGATTATTACCTGTGATCAAATAAACAAATTCAGTTGCAATATTACTACAAAACATTTCGCCTGTGAACCGTTATCAAATCCCTATTGTCATATAAGTCATATCACCTTGACATTTCTCACTGAATATAACCATTAATACCATAAAATGGAATATCGGACATACGATTCTGCCTGATGAGATTGTTTTATTCGTCAGAACAAGACAGAACAACAGTCAAACATCACCTTTTACGTCATAATAGGAAACCGGTTCTACTGATTAAAATTATGATATACCAAATATTCTTTCAAAAACAACGATTAAATGGCGCATAGAATACATAATATTATCATATTTCAATGTGATAGAAAATATTAGTTAAATAAGCGTTAGTAAAGTTTCTGATCACTGATTGGAAAATCATTTATAAAAAATAAACGGATTAGATTTTTAAAAATATATGAAGGAGAAGGATTTCCAACTGAGCAAGGTAGGTTTTCAAATTGAACTCAATAGTTTTCGAATTTCTATTCTTTCACATTGAAACGCATGAATATTCTCCCGTTTTTCTGGAAGAAAATAAAATAAAAAGAATGGGTTTATTTAGATGAGGTGTAGTGACAAAGTAGAGAAGTTATCAATTCAAATATTTTCGTACGTCAATCAATGTAAGTATAGGAAGTCAAAACTACTGCTCTGACAAACTACAGAAATTGTAAATACACAAACACATAAAATATTCACAACACTTTTTTCCCACTAGATGTGAATTGGAAACAATCAACAAAATACATTTTACAGTTTAATTGCAACTGAATTTCATTACCAAAAACCTAATCAGATTCCATAATAGTGGAACAGGCTAAATATACCACATACAGATGCTTATTACTCAAAAATATACTTTAGGCGCTTTACTTAGTCGACTATGGTTGCGGTTCAGATGGCAACCGACTCCGGAAGTTTTGATCTCTTGTGTATCTGTATCTCATAAATATTGATGGGGTTTTATGCACAAGTGGACAAGTTTTCTCGAGAAACAACCAGAGATTATGATAGTTAGCTCCTCATCTAAAACACACTAACAATGTTTACAAATAAAACATTGCATTTTATTCTGGTCTCCTTCAGTCGTAACGATAATATCTAGTGTGTAATCGTGTAATATAAAATTGTTCGTTTAATCGAGTACGATGCAACTTTGAGATTAGCTAACCTGGATAGAACACAGAATGAACTGATATTTCATATTCTTACTGGGATAACAATTTCACTTTCAAACATTTACTTAAATTTATGGAATTTCAACTAGAATTCAAAAGGAAACTAAACAAGCAACCAAAAATATCAACTAGTCAATATACGAACAACATACTTTGGTTTCTTAGGCTTTACAGTGATCGATCCACGACTAACATTGTGCTACAGTAACGAAGATAAACAATATGCGTGTATACAAATTCATGATTATATTCAAGTATGTATTACAAAATTAACTGGATATTTAATTACAAAGCCGAACTTCTTCCGAATGGGAGTGATGTTCCTAACTGGAATAAGTATACATATACGACTGAGCTAATAAGAGTATCAAAGTAAATGCTCCTGGTAAAGGCTCCTTATTGCTTCAGTTAATAGTGTCACTCTAGGCATAGAGGTAAACTAGTTTCAAAGTACTATTGCTTAAATATACACAGTTCGGTAATGTAATGTGAATTGTTTGTGATCTTTACACTAACAGACACTATAACTAATCTTACTGATCAACAGTCAAGTATTACCATTAGGTCAAACATTTTTCTCCAGTTACCACCTGATTAAAGGTGAAGGGTTCGTCAATACACCTGCAACTTTGAAGTTACGTTTCAACATGTATTTTAAAAGTCCCAGCGAGTACTACGCAAATGTAGGCTAGTCAATTTAATCACTGACTCACATGTTTTCATGATAGTCCTAATAGTCAGTGACCTCCCAAGTTTAGGTTACCCAATTAATCTAGGTGACTGCCTTCTGTTACATGAAGCTGCTTCCATCTCGATTACCAAAACATAACTACAGCAAAACGTTACTACCGTTTACTTACTGAAATGAGAATTCAGAAAGGGTCAACTAAGTTTTTTCATACAAAGCTTAGTCTATCTACTTCAATACTGCCCTCTCCACTACGAGCACCATTTATGAACATTTGACTGTGTGTGGGAGCTCAGATAGCTATTATCCAATGTTTAATCGACGAGAGATGGTCAGAGCCTAAACACTTTCAACAACGGACATTTCACCTGTCTAATTTTGCAGTGTAAGCTAATCAGTCAGTTCATAAGTGATCAGTGGATAAAATCGAATTCAAATGCGTGATCCACTGCTTCAGAGATTATACTAAGTTCACACATGATAAGAGGTTAGGTAGACCACATAGAGCGAATGAGGTCGAGTAAATAACCACACGTTGACCCTTTTGTTTTTCTCTACAAACAATGCATACGTATATTTCATGAAATTCAAGAGTTTCGACCAGTGAAATCTGTTTTTTGAAGGCGTGCACCAATATACAGTTCATTAGAATCACAGATGTTGGCACTGAATGTTCTAAATCTCTTACTGACACGAATATTTCACCAGCTAAACAATGACTTGATTTACAGGTAACACCCAACAAACAAAATGAAAATGTTTAAGAATACAGGTAGCGAGTGGAAGAATTTTCGATTGAAAACTTTGCGATAAATGATCATCCAGTTTTTTCCTTTACCTTAGCAGACGGGTCATAGGTAAAATGATAGTTCCTAACCCCACTCTTAGTGTTGTTTGGGAAATCACCAGACTAAACAAAAGTAGAGATAAAAAACATGAGACAATGAAAATACAGTTCTACCATTCCAAATCTTTCAAACTCACAATTGTGGTGCATAATTCTTCAAATTTTTCCTCATATGGATATTTCCCGGAGAAGTCAATATAACGGCTCTCGCCTATCATGAAGCCCAGCCAACCACTTGGAACAAACTTCGACTCAACACGAAGAAAAATAGTTGGTTTAGTCAGTTTTCGAGTGTATTCAGCTTCTTTAAAATGAAGTGTGGTATAATATTAAAATAACACTGATAGTTTACCATGTGCTACGACTATTCGCTCATATCTGGTCAAAATATTATGCAATAAGTGGTCATAAATGCTTTCCAGTAGTATCTTCACGCTTCTGACAGATTTTAATCAGCTGACAACACTTTTCAGATACGAAGAAGGGAATTCCACTTCATAGTCTACGACTTGGGTGATGACGTCAATTTTTAACAAAGCCAGTTTCATGTAGAAATCAACAACCATTATTGGTTAATTCAGCTCAATTTATCGACTGCCTCTAGTTTGATATTTCATGGATTGCTGACGCAGAAGCTGACAGACACCACCCACGATACTGTAGCAGCACCAAATAAGGTGCAAAGCTACGGCTTAAAGGACTGTGCTGAAATGTCATTCAAAGTTTAGTTGTGAACCATAGTGAACATTGATCTGGCACACACAAAAGACAGAACTCTATATCCATTTTCAAAGCAAACAGTTCGAAAGTGTGTCAACTAGTTTCAAGTAAACTGGCACAATAGATCCTGTGTTTCCTATCAAATTAGGAGAGTTAGGAGAATCGATTTCCAACGAACTGGGTCTACATGTCTAATGATCAGTACATTTTCGCAGCGCCTCCTTCAAGCAATCAATGATGGTGAAATTCACAAACGGATCAGACAATTTTTTAGTTAGATAATCTTATATATTCTATAAATATCCTATGAAATTCTTGCATGAAACTGTATGGACATTTGTTCGAGCTGTTGTCTTGAAACATATATTGGATCTAATCACTCACAAAAAAGTTAGAAGTGGAAAAGTATGATAATGTTAGAAATATGGAAATCACTATTGACTTTAGTTTCGAATTATATATCTGTGCATTGTTGGTACAATGGGAAATATGCAGGACTGAAGGATTCACACTCAATCCTCTAAGTTTGCGAATCTTTCAAAATGTAGGTTACATACGAGAGCACCAGCAATAAAACCACGTACATTTGGACACTATTCACTGTAAGAGAGACTCTTTCCGATGAAACAACACTGATAATCTACACGACACCTAGGCTTGCATCACTATGGAACGTCGATGTATATCGGAATCCATAAACATGCAGCTGATGGTGATGATGATCGATTTGCACAAGAATGAAATCACATCATGGACAATATTATTTGCACGAAATAACTATGATAAACGCATTTACTCCTTACAATAATCTACAACAGATTAAAATAAATCGAGTACAGAATGTACAGTTTCCATAAAACTCTTACGAGTAAACAAGAACTTCTAAACTAGAAATAGGACCATGCACACGGAAAAACTTATGTATGTGCATTTTACACCAAGTGGTTGAGAATAACCTGGTAGATGTTAGGAACACTAACGACGTTACACTGTTCTCGTTTCATGGAAATAGCAAAACTGACAGTCAGACAGATAGATAGATAGATAGATAGATAGATAGATAGATAGATAGATAGATAGATAGATAGAACCATTTTTGGATTTATGCATTCAATGTGCTGCTCTGATGTAAGCATCAATACCTATAGATAGTGAGTTCCTACTAATCTGGAAAATTTGTTTGGTAATCTTACTACTTTAATCGAGTGTGAAGTAGGAAGAGAAGAAGATAGAACGATAATTAATTATGGTTGTATCTATTTAGCCAAGTATGAACTCTCAATACTTACCAACTAACACTATAATTAAATGGAGGTGAAATATGCGTTTGTTCTGGTGAATAAGAACATATTATATGGCATTTCCATTTGGGTGTCAATGTGACTTATGATGGTTGAAATATGTTTGTTCTACGTACCGGGATGACGTCCATCTATGTAAGTGTGGGTTGGTGACTAAATCGAAGGTATTATAGGACCATCATGCAGTATCAATTTAAGAAGCTTCTTCCTTTCTAATTATCTTCCTGATGAATCGCAATTAAGTTTCTCTGTTGTAGATTTATACCATGAGCTCAATAACTACGGTGTCTAAATAGAAAGTAGCATAGGATCATTTTTTAATTAATTTTAACAGTGTAACTTTGATTTGAACCGAATAAATAAATTCTCAATGCAATAAAACATTTAAATGTAAATTGTTCATTGTTTAATAAGTTAGTTTTTCGTTTACGCGTTAACATATCTTTAAAAATAAGAGTGATTTACGAGTGATGAATGGTGGTTAGCAATGAGATCCAGGACGCGTGTTTCGTCCTATTCGGGGCTCATCAGATGGATGTACGATGGTGCTTGAAGTGAATGGTGGTAGGTTCGAATCGCAGAATGAACATCAACTCTGAGATGCAGGAACATGTGGTTGGCGAGTCCCAAATAGGACGAAACGCGCGTCCTGGATTCCACTGCTAGTCACCATCCATCTTTGCTTATAATACTTGTGACTTAAGGAAGTATCTAGGCAATCTGCACAGGATGCACACATGCCCATAAGAAACTGACCAATTGCAGTCCTAAACACCCATGGGATGATTCAAGTAAGCTATATCAAGTGATAGGCATCATGTTCAAATGTCAGTGGGAATAAGAGTATTGAAAAGGAAATACTTTTATCTGATCCGTCTCAAATATAGTGAAACTTCAGTAAAAATGCATAAGCCAATTAGTGAAAAGAAAACAAGCAGTATCCAAGCAAAATAATATCAGTACATTGGTTCTTATAAGTAGTCCATATACCTATGAACATGGAATAAAAAGAGAAAGGTCCAGGCTACGGAAAAAATGGCCTATGGAAACTCTTTATACAACAAAAAAATGAGTAAGCGAAATTTAATTATACAACAGTTGCAAACAATCAAGAAACTTTTAAAGAAGGATTTTAAAACTTACAGACTCAAAATAATTACATCATCTTATACAGATGAATCCGGAGACTAGTCAGTCTGAATGCAGAACATATGTCGTAAATAGTTATCAAAAAATAGTCAAAAGTCTCAGTTCAATTAAAAGGGTAAGTGACAAGGCGATATTAACCGATCTGCTCATATGTCCCAAGCTCCATGAACGAAACAGATACATTTGTACAGGTAATATATATAAACAATAAGGAATTTTTTAAAATATAGAAATCACTCATGTACATACCTGCTCTAGTATTTGCACTTTGTTGGTATGATTTAGAAAAAAGTATTAATACAATTGCAGCATTTTGCACAGCGTTTGCCATTGCATCTAAAATCTTAACATCTTGAACCATGTGATCTTTGTCAATCCAAATCTGCGAAAATAAACCGAGATAAAGATTACTGATGAGAATACAAACATATGTCATAAAACGTTGGAAGAAATTCATAGACAATGTATACATCACGTACCAAAAACTATATGCAACTATACGATAAATGCGATTAATCCGAAATTGTGTGTAAATTCCTTTCGAGAAATGTCTTAATAAGTATCAATGCCAAGGTTGGACTTTATAGTTTCAAATAAATTGAACATTGGGTAGAAAGTTAATAGTAAATATATTTTTCGCCATATCCCAATGTTATTTGTTCAAGCACATAAGCATTGGTACAAAAGGGTACCGAAAACATATGGACCACACATGTCACTTGATTTGTGTGTGAGCTGGGATACTGCGCGGGTGCCCAAACCGGAGCAGGTGCTTTTCTTAGGAGGCCACATCCTGAGCCTTTGACCTAAAGGTCCAATCCACAAGGCAGTAGAGCAACGTAAGGAGATGCAGTCCCATGGTAATCGGTGACCAACAATAGGTCCATACACCGTTTTCCCCCTTAGGATCCTGGAGCTCATGTACATCACTGGTTTGAAATCAGGGTTTCCCAACTGCCCTAGGTGGATCCTCCGTATCCAACAAACCGGCTAGAGCGCCGGACATTTACTTACCGTCTTCTTAATTTCGCAAACAACCCCGCCGCGAAAAGGCAGTGAGTAGGACTTCTCTGGCAGTGGTTGTATGCATGTGGCTATGTGAGAGCAATTAGAAAGGGAGAGCCGACTCTACCCACTCTCGGCCGTACCAGAGCATTTTGGGACAATATATCCCGTTGAGTAGGAAAATTATATTTGTGACGTTTCGTGACTTGATGTGAGCCACTTTTTCAGAGTAAATAAATAAAAAGTCAGAAATACAAGTTTTCTACTCATTGGGATATAATAAAATATATTTATTATGTCTTAATTAGTGTTTATGATATAATAGCTGTTCAAAGAGGAAATCAACCAACTATCTGAATGTACACAAGTAAAAAGTGTTTTTCCGAATTATCATGAAAATTTGGTTATAGTGAGATGGTTGGCGCGTAAGAGGTGTCTGAAAATATATTCAAAACCCTAGATTAACTGAAATGAGCTTCAACATAAAAACAAATGAGAATTACGCCTCGTCAAGTATTGTCTATACGAAAATATGACGAATTATCCTAATATCCAGAAGCAAATAGTTCGAATAGTCGTCCTATTGTTACATATTTGAATATTATAGTATTGACTGAATACCAAAACTAGGTGTAGCCTCACGTTATTTAAAATTAGTGAGAAATGCACTTCAAAATATGCTATTTGTCAGTTGGTATACACCATGAATGTGTGAACATTGTGAAAGCCGTCAGGCCAAATATCGAAATCCAGAACGATAGTGTACTAATTAAATTGTTACTTATCAAATTGATACAGTAAAGGTAGATTCAACGAGACAACAACGATACGAATAGAATTGAAATGAATAACCGTGAAAATATCATAAGAAAAAAAATCAATCACAGGGCAGAGTAAACAGTGAAATGGCCAGATGCTTAATCAGTCAGGTGTGACACAATCAAAACTAGGGATGGATACAGACTAGTTTTGAATTTACTTTAAATTATGGGGAGTGAAACAACCTAATACTTCTCATGTTCTAGCTTATAAATTAAAACCGAATACCACACATAGAATAACAACTTTGAATGAAACGCCTTATTTATTTAAAGCACACATAGATTATGTCTGAATTAATCGAAAGAAAGAACTTGTGGTGATTTCTTACTGAATCTCATACTAAAGGACTACGTCAAACTAATAAACGTTTTTAGCTCAAACATCATTAGCTGAAATATAGTTTACGGGAAACTTTTATTGAGATTTATCACCTAAAGTGGTATTCACAATCGCTTTCCAAGTTTTCCATTTTTACTTGACGTCGTTATAGACATGTTCATAAATGTGACTTATCGCCTGACATTTTAGGAGCGGATTTCCTACTTGGAAACGCTTAATGACTTAGAGTATGCAGATGGTTTAGTCCTATTTGGTATATATATACACGCATAACAAATAAAATACCTTGATTTCTTCATTTTCCAAGCTTTCTTTAATTTTAAGTGCTATTTTGTCATCGTTATGACTGTAGCTTATCATAATATGACCATCCAGATGGTAGGGATTTCCTTCTTCTACCACGATAGATGGTTTATCTTCTATAAAATAATAATTCAAATACACATGGTTAGCAAATTCTATTCTGATAAAATTCCGTTGTAAAATTGTGACAACCGATTAAGACTCGTAATAGCCGATTTGTTCTAGTGAAACTATAGGAATTGTCTGTATGGAAACCGTTAATTTGCAGCTCACTATATTCCTCTCGAATATATACCTTGATAACAGAATCCATGACGATGATGTACCCACCGGTTCTCTCCTTAGATTCGCATGAAGATAACCGAACCAACAAAGCTTTTTCTTTTCTGTTCTGATGTAGCATTTTCAAGAGACTTTATACAAACTTCATTCTAAAATAACCATGTAGAATGAGCGCTGCATAAATAATATCACATATTGGTGAATTCGAAGTCCCACGATCACAACACACGAACTTCATAATTACAAACTTGAATTCTTATCCCTTGATAAGGAGTAAAACTTATTGCTAATATCATCCTCAATGTTTCGGTAATTTACCGTAAATCGTCGTCCACTATGACCGAAACTGATCAGTTAAATAAGTAGATAACAAATTTGCCTTCCCTTCGTCTATGAATTTATTCAATTTAGTTAATACAGTCTTCACATTAGGGAAAAAATTTCCTAGTTCCAACTATCATGAAAGGTAAACGTAGTTAATCATATCAGTGTCAAAAAGACTTTACGGCAGTTTAGAACTCCCTAAAACTTGTCAAATTAGAAGGATATTCTTAGTAATAATTTGGGTTGGTGAATAACTATGTCTTAAGTGCTCTAACATATCCTATTATCTAGTGAACCGAATGTACTCACGTTGGTTGGATTATATTTCCTTATTTAGACAATTGTATACTTAATGTCTTAATTTGATCAGAATGTGAAACTGAAACATGTATAGAAAGTATGCATTGTGACTAACCTGTTAAACCATGAACTCCATTTTTCTACATTACCTTCTAACATTTTATCTCCTAGACCAGTCAACTGTAAATGGGTCAAAAATTATCTAGTTTATTCATCAGATGTGTGATTCTTATTCATTCAATTTTGCGAAGTTCTAAGTAACTGTAATCATGTGAATTAACAAGATCCAAAATCTCAAAGCAATAAGTCGGAGAGTGTTTCTGAGATATTTCGACAGTATTTAATACTATTGGTTAATTGTGAAAGGATTAGATGGACATTAACAGGTACTTGTCAACTAGTCAGTTAAGAACATTATTGAACCTGGAAGTGTCCATAGAGAAGTACTTATTATCAGGCATAGTAATATATCATGTAGGAAACTTTCCATTTTATTTCCTAACACCCAACTAATTAAAAAAATGAAATGATGACCAGGAGATTAAGAAATTCACCAAAGTAAACTGTTAAGGTGTACAGTATAAATTTAACTACAGCTCCTTAGAGGGCACTGGGATAAAATAGTGAATTGATAGTACAGTTATATTCTCTATGCTTAATAAGATTTCATTATCTTATCTATTGTTATTTGATATTCCTTAGACTGGTGTATGAGATAAATCCAATAATCCTGCTTTTTATATGCGATATAAAAGCATGACTAAAAGTGACTGAATTAATGTTTTCACATACCACTTTGGTCATCACCGATATCAGGTTCAGTTGGATACTGAAGTAAGAATTCATCAATACTAGCACCTTCAAAATATGTTCGAACTTTTTCTTCCAATTCAGTTATGTTGCTGCGATATGCTTCAGCTAGTGACAATATTTCTTGGGTAGCATCAATAACTGGAACTTTTGATGATAAAATATGTGTAGTAGTTGATATTTCATTTGTGCCGTATGACTGAGAATCAGATAAGGATGTTAAGTGACGTACAATATCACGATTGCCAAATTCAATTCTGTTTTCAGCGTTTAGAGCCAAAAGACGGAGCACTATTATTTGGAAAAAAAGTACGAATTCGTACGCTTCATTCTGAATTTGTAACAAAAAGACACTGATACGATACAGAATAAGCGCATTTGAAATTTTGACCAGTAGTAATTTATTCAGATTGACTGGTATAGTGAAGGAAAGTTCGGAGATAAATAGTTTGGTTGAAACGCTTGTAGTTTTATGCTGTAAAACGATACTGAAAACTAAAAACATGAGGACTTATTAGTCCCCTGTAGTAGTAAGTCTTACTATTAACAATGACGTAACGTGTTGGTAGTTTTAGTGACTATATACTTTATTGTCTACATTTATCAATTATTTGTCTTATGAAAAAAAACAAATTTTTTCAGGTAAGTTTGACCCATATTTGATAAGAAACAATAATAGTTATATTATCGATTAGCCCAAAGTATTCAATTTTGATTCTTGACCATATAAGTAAACCAGACATAACTCGTAATTTTTTATTAGTGGTTGAATTATTTGTGAATTTACGGCTTGAGAATAATAAACGTCATTACATGCGGCCTTACCCTCTTGCATCAATCGAATAATATCAGTCTTTGTATAGTGGTAAGTAGCCAGGTTTCAGAGGTTATAAAAGACCGGTATATAAATGCTTTCGTCAGGTTTCAACGATATTACTACATTTATTGAACTGAAAGGCGATAGTTTGGAAATTCTCTCAATTTTTTAAAACCTTTGAATTATTTTACTTTTTTCTACCCGATTCGGGCTTCATAATTCAACCATCTGGTTTATACCACATCAAACAACCTCTAATAAACAAATCAATTAAATGGTTAAAGTGAAAGATATCCGACCAGTTCATTACCGTATTGTTGGTCGCACTCAAGCAAAACAAATCAGTGAAAAGTCCTGTTTCATTTCACTTAACTGGAGTAAAGCTTTGAGGTGTCTTATCATTAGTACCTTTCAGTTGACATACCTCACACCACTAAATAATAAAGAAGCGGCTAACTTGAACCTATTAATCTTAAATTGTTTTTAAAATCACCAATTGAGTTAAAGTGATTAACGAATTCGCTATCAGTTAAACCACATATATCTTAATATTTTCATGATTAATACCATCGACATAATTTCAAATGTGACTGTTCAGCTCACATTTATAACTTACTGATGACACAAACGGTTTATTATCTCTAATGTTATAAGGTTTATAACCACTATACACAAGTCTCAACGTTAGATATACATGACGATCAACTAGCGTTAAGTATAACACAACTGTAGTTCACATTCATTAACAAAAAGAATTATATCATTAAAGTCCCCGGACAGTCAAACTGAGTTCCCAGTATCGATATCATACAATTTCACGAGGTTCAAGTACGAATAAGAAAGCACCAATAAGTACACTCGCCACAGCAATCTTTTTTAATCAATGCATATTACATTGTGTCTGTTTTAGAAACAAAATGTTAGAATGAAGTATGAAGAAGAATGTAAGATCCAGTTAAAACACAATCATATCTAAGACTAGTTAGAAAAGAATTGGGTATAAATAGAAGCGATTATACAATCGGACTAATATATATTAATCCAAAGATGAAACAAATAAAGTAAACTTGTTATACTAACAATAAAAACTTTAGTAAATAGAAATAAATCATAGTAGATTTGATATGGAGCTAGCAGTGAAATCCAGGATATAGATTTCATCCTATCTGGGATTCAGATTTACTTGTATCCCAGTGTAGATGTCTTTACAGAAACTTGAACCCAGTACCTGTCGCTAGAATCCCGTTCTACTTCATTTTACAGTTGATTTTCATCGCAGAAAATCACTTTCCATACCCCGTACTTTTGATCAATATAAAATCACTAAAATATTTGGAAGAATGATAACGCAGCATTTATTTGAAAATGACAATTATCTGCAAATAATCTACCTTTATTGAGAATAGAGGCATCAAAGAAATGACTTTTTCTTCCTCCAATAACAGTATAATGGAACTGTTGCATGAACAATTCAATATATTCTACTTTTAGATGAAGTTGACTGATATCAGTGTAAGTAAACGTTAAAAAAATGTTTATGGCCAACTGGAAAATAAATATTAACTGGAAACAATGCCACAAACTTTAATTGTTGGATCAGGGCAAGTATAGCACGTTAAAATATTACGTAGACCATAATCTCTAAGTACTTTTGTTAGGCAACTATATTCATACGCCAATGAAGTATTTAGTGAACAAATAATTAGAGTTGTTAGTGAAAGTACAGCCTAATATAGCATATTTTAAGAATAAAGTGATTCAAACCTCAGACATTTTCATAGTACTCATGATATGTAAGATACGCCGTACTTCCGTCAAATATATATCAGATTTGATCAGTTTCTGTGTGAAGCTTATGCTGACGACCATATAATTAGTCAATGATTGTTGAAAATCCATCAGCTTGAGGACCCATTTTTCACAAGGGAGTGGATTGAATGTAGAATAACTTAATGGAATAGCCATTCTTCCTAGTTCACGATAAATAGATATAAGGTTGTCAAAAACTGATAACCTTGACAATATATCTACCGCAACCTTTGTACGATACTCTGTTATATTTGCTGGTGCGTCTTCAGGGCTGAAACTATTCACAAATGATTTTAATGATTCATCGAATTCTGCCGTAGCATATTTTTTCGAATTCGCAAGTATAATCAACTGCTTTATGTGCTTTGACGTTGCTTCATATAATTCGCCGAAATCGTTCTTACTCATTTACGGTTATTTATCTGAAGTGAAATGGTAACAAAAAGTTCATTAAGGAAAGTGAACAGAACAAAATTAAGATAATAATTTGATTCTACTCATTAGATTTATTCCAAAATAGCAAAAAAACGCTTGATCTATTATTATCAAACAAGCATTTTAAACGGCAACCAAATTTGTTAACGCTGTATTCCCCACAATGAACATTTACAACTCACTTTTCCTCATTCTATATGAATGGATGTTTAAGAATCATAACAAGGAAGAAGTGCTGTTGTATTCACGTAGCACTGTCGCTTCCGACAAGAACAAAAATGCAAAAGCCAGTTATTGATACTGAAATCAGCTTAGTAGGTAAGTCCAGTTCACTTGACAAATCTATGGTTACAAGAACCTTGATATCTTAAATCCGTTAAATATAAATAGAGCTTCGATTACCAGCTGATGTAACATGGATCAAACAGCCGTTTTGTTTCTGTGTGAATAGGAAAACTGGTTCCTGTAATAAACTTACATGTTCCTGTTGGAGGGGGCAGGTAGCAAAATTTTTTTATTAATACTCTTATTTTACTCCGACTAATTATTGTTGTACATTCTGTCTTATATGTGCTATTTAAAGTTACAGAGTAGTTGCTCATTGAAGTGTCCTTTATTATGAACCTTGACTGGCCCTAGAAAACCAATCATGGCGTTTAAACTTCCGTCTTCTGCGTCCACAACTTAAAGCGAATCAGACAAGCAGATTCATAGGGGGCTGAAAGAAATATAACCAATTATTTGTGGTGCACCAGCGACCGAAATTCCAACGAAACGATAAACTGTAAGTCTTTCTTCCTAGTTTTAGGTGTTTTTATAACCCTTAAAGTCTACGAAGTACAGCCTAATTGGCAACAAATGTCTCCAGTTATATTATTAGAACTTTGGATTTGAAGACTTTTGACCGAATTCAACTGGTTTGTAACATATAGTCTCAAAGGCGCAAATTGCATCGACCTAGCTAGCAGCGACAACAATCTGGAAAGCGTATATTAGCCCTGGAAATGGGAACTAATTGGCTATTCCAGGCTTTGTTGGTTCACTGAAAGGGCGTTAACGAGTGCTAAAAACACCAGCCACTGAGCGATTGGTTGTAGAATTGTGAATAGCGTCATAGTAAATTAATAGCTTCAAAAAACTAGTAAAGTTGAAATATGTATGTGTCATGATTATATTATATTCCACCCTTCTACAAGGTAATGAGAAGAGATTAAGCAGAATTAAGTGCTGTAGTGAGAACAACAGTTTCAATCTAGCGTCTTGTCGATGATGTGGAATCGACTTCATATTATGTCAACGTGTCACTCCCTTACTCTATGATTTACGTCTCCGAACAAACGCCCTGTCAATCACATGAATCAACAGATCCTGCACTAGGACAATATAACCTTCTCTACCGACGATCGACAACGATTTCTGTGTTTAGTGAAAATTAGATCATTCAACACGTACCCCCTCCCGATAGGGAGGGAAGTTTCGAAACTTCACCAGCAGTACTCCTTGGTAAACAGAATGTCACTTTCTCTCTCGAAATATTCTTCCCAAAAAGTCCTGTAAAATTCCGCTATTCCCTTTCACCTAAAATAGATATTAAAGGATAATTTGTTTTGATGCAGAACCAAAGATATGGTCATTTTTATGCCGAACAAATTCGAATCTGTGAGGATATGGACGTTAATGTCGAGAATTTCATCGATACTTTTCCTAGATATTTCTCTCAAAATATCATTCACGGCCCCAGAACTATAGTGAAAATTATTAAAACTAAATAATGAAGGTACATATAACTTATTAAAGGGTTTGGTAGTTTTCTCCAAAGTTTGGGAAATAACCCCAAAGTGTCATAAGATTTTGTGGAAATATTAGAAAGAACCCAAAATTTCCTCAGACATTTTGAGGATTTTCCCCAGATCTGTGCAAAACTATAGCAATTGCTATAGTTTTGCAAATTAATTTGATTATAAATTTGCCGATGTATTTGCTCGTATATAAATATTTGCCTCTCAGCTTCGAAATCTGAGCTATCTGATAATAAACTGTAGTTGCAGCTTCTCATTGCCTTTTGATTTCAAACAACGTTGAGGTCTATATAATAATTGTTATAAGGGTGATTGATTAACGAAACAAAGCCACTACACTGGCCTCATATACAGCTGTAGAATTATTTGGTTTTATAGTTAATAGGAGTCGATTACGCACCATAAAGAACCATAAACTACGTGAAACCAAGAAAAAGAACTGATACTCACTATTCTTTTTTAGATATCGAGGGACCGTGTCATTGTTGACTAGTTTAAACTGCTCAAGGTCTTTCTCACCAGGATTTTATCTTTCCCATATTCGTAGATATTAAATCGCAACACTTGAGGGTACAGTAGGCGAGTAAATAATTGAAAAGAAAAATGGAAAGTCATAATACTTGTAGTGTGGTTTTCAGATGAACAAATGTTATTGGATGAAATTGAAGCTTTCGTTTAGCGAGCTTGAGTCTCAGTTTAAATTTCAGCTACCGAATGACAGAAGGCGAAGTGGTCTGTGCTAGCTCTGTTAATGGAATTTCTTAGTTGATCGAACTTTCGATAGAATGTGTCGGTAGACGGTGCTTTATTCACATGTTAAGGTAAGAGCTTCATCCATAAATGATCCTGTTAAAAGGTCGGCAGTCAGATGACAAATGGTTTTTCTGGGCATGCGAAAGACTTTATTGTGTTCTCGACAATGTTTTTCATTGTAAGACAAGGAAAACGAGGGTATGTCAGATGCAAAATTATTATTATTACCATGTTTTTCTAGTAACGTCGTTTATGCTGAATAGTCATCACTGCGGTCATAGTACCCGAGTACGACAGAGTGGTGATACACAGTAGTCATTATCATGAGGTACGACTTCGACGCTAGCTGGTTGGTCACGCCATTTCCGTTTCATTCGAGCAGACCACGAATCATTCAACACAGACAATTGACGTTGGTGATCTACAGTCTCAAAACTGTCCACTAACCAAAGTTTTCCAGCCAGATAACCTTGTGGCGGTAAATAAATCCCCAAACTAAATAGCTCTGTAGGTTTTCGACATTGAATGCTGACCATATGTTTTAGTGGACTCATCTAGCTGAAGGCGATCGGTCATGCATCCGCACCAGATCACGTGTGGTAACGCTGTGTTCAACATCTATCGCAATCGCTAGTTAGATTAGATCAGAGAATTCCGATATATCGGTAATCGCCAAATACACTCTTCCGATCTCCTCGACTCTGTCTTTTGATTTCTCACGGTGTGTACAATTTATATTAGAAGGTGCTGCTGGTAAAAGCGTTGTCAAACACTGAATACCTGTATCATCTTTATTGGTGAGACCGACGTGATCTGGTACACCTAATTGCAACTGTGAGTCTGTTCCTTTTTAAGATTTTTATATATCATTGCCTTATTTTTTATTTTCTAAACATTGTGATTTTTTTCGTGTTTTTTTCTTGGATATATATATTTTCCCCTCGTTCATTATCGTACTTCATATTTCATCATGACTGAGTAGACACCCAAAGTATTCAAGCTTAAGTTATTGTCTCCGCCTTCGTTTCAACTCATGCCTTTCTGGCCCGACAATATCGAAGCCTGGTTCTGCTACGCAGAAGCTGACTTCTCCGAGCAAGGCGTGATCGACACATGTGCACAATTCCTCGCAGCAGTCAAGGCACTACCGCGCGAATTCAACAGGTACGTAACACCTTGTATGTTTACTAGTGATGTTTCCGAACCTTACGAAATCCTAAAACGTTCGATTCTTAAACGAGGAGACCTAACCGACCGACAAAGGTTAGATCAACTCTTCAATAACATCGACCTGCAACACGGTTCTGCGACGGACATGTTGCAACGAATGAGAGAAGTGATTGGCCTAAGAACTTTCGACGAAGGCCTATTTAAACAACTTTTCTTGTCTAAACTCCTCAACAGGTGCAAGCGGTTCTGGTCTCGTTTCAGAACAACGCTTTGGACGAGCTAGCTGGATCTGCCGATCGAATCTTAGAAATAACGAAATTGTCTACTACAGAGGTAGTTTCAGTCAAAGAAAAGCCTCGCACGACTCAGAATGACATAACCGAGTTATTTCATACACTCACGCGTTATCTTCATCGTCGTAACGACCGTAGTCGCTCACGCAGCCCACGTAAAAGCATTTCACGTAAACGATCTGTCTCTAGACCACGAGAGACGGATAACCCCGACTAGTGCTGGTATCATAACCAGTATGGAAAATCTTCCAGAAATTGCAGAAAACCCTGCAATTTTCCCAATACGAAACCGACTGACTCGAAAAACAATTCGGGAAACTTCCAAGCCGGCACGCGTTAACGGCAACCGTAGCCGGCGAACATAGCCGTCTGTTGTACGTCACAGATGTGACAGCGAGAGTTCGCTACCTCGTCGACACTGTCGCAGAAGTTAGCGTTCTCCCAGCAAATCATAACGACCGGCTCCACGAATCAACTCTAAACTTACAGGCGGCAAATGGAAAACCGATCGCTACGTATGGCAAAAGGTACGTTTACCTGAACGTGAGTTTACGCAAACCCATTCACTGGATTTTCGTTGTTGCAGATGTTTCTATGCCAATCATTGGTATGGATCTTCTACAACACCATAATCTAATCATCGACACGCGCAAACGGAGGCTAGTAGACGGAAACACTAAATTATCTGTTTGCATAACTTCTTTTACTGGTTGTAGAATATCCCCAGTCACAGTTAAGCATATGATAGACCCACTCTATCAACCACTACTCGATAAGTACCCTGGGATACAACAAAGTCAACCGAAACTACCGTGTGTAACCAGCAACGTTACACATCACATCACGATTACAGGACCACCTGTATTCTCTAAAGCACGACGACTAGCTCGTGAAAAGCTAAGGTTAGCGAAAAACGAATTCGATCACATGATAAACTTAGGAATAATACGACCGGCAAACAGCCCTTATGCATCTCCGTTGCACATGTTCCCTAAAAAGGACAGAAACGATTGGCGTCCAACTGGTAACTATCGGCGATTGAATGCAAAAACCATTCCCGATCGTTAACCGTTGCCTCACATTCACGATTTGACAGCTACCTTGAAAGGTACAACTGTCTTTTCGAAAATCGACTTGGTTAAAGCGTATAACCAAATCCATATGGCTACTGACGACTTACCGAGAACAGCTATCATAACTCCTTTCGGACTTTATGAATTTTTGCGAATACCTTTCGGTCTAAGAAACGCTGCGCAAACATTCCAAAGATTCATAGACGACGTTTTTCGAGGTCTCAACTTCGTACACACGTATGTTGATGACTGCCTAATCGCAAGTCCGGACAGAGAATCACATCTCAAGCATCTGGGTCTAGTTTTCGAACGATTACAACAGCATGGCATTACTGTAAACGTTTAGAAATGTCAGTTCGGAACCGACTCGTTAGATATCGTAGGACACACTATCGATGCTCAAGGCATTCGACCTCTTAGGACCAAAGTGGAGGCCATTCTGGATTACCCAGAACCGACCAACGTCAAGCAATTACGCACGTTTAACGGCCTGGTAAGTTTCTATAGACGCTTCATACGGAAATGCGCATTACTTGTGAAACCTCTTACCGACCAACTTTGTGGAAATGCGAAATCCATTAATTTGGACGACACCGCACGAAAAGCATTCTCCACAGTTAAGGAACTGATCGCTAAAGCAACAATGCTCGCACATCAGGACACCGAAGCACCCATTGGTATCGCAGTAGACGCATCCGACTCGGCAATCGGAGGAGTCTTACAACAATGGGTTAACAACTCCTGGCAACCATTGGCATTTTTTTCTAGACAGTTGCTAGACACCGAATCGAGGTACAGCACATTCGGTAGGGAACTCCTAGCTATATATTGTAGTGTACGGCATTTCCAACACTATATCGAAGGCCGTGAATTCACTCTTTTCACGGACCATAAACCGCTCACTATCTCGTTAAGCTCACCTTCGGACAAGTACTCTCCCCGTGAGTCTCGACAACTGGACTACATTTCGCAGTTTACTTCAGATATTCAACATATTTCTGGAGCAAAAAATGTAGTTGCAGAAGCCTTGTCTCGAATAAATTCCTTGAACAGTTTCCAAGGAATCGACCTTCTTAAACTCGCCCAGCTTCAATAAGAAGACACTGATCTTCAGCACGAGTTATCGTCCACAACCCTTAAAGTACGCATCAAACAGATGGGAACAGGTAAGGAAACCTTACTTTGTGACACATCTGCAGGTAGGGATCGCCTAATCGTCCCGAAACATTATCGACGCAATGTCTTCAATACATTGTACAAACTTTCTCATCCAGGCACTCGTGCGACCATCTATCTTAGGGCAGAACGGTTTTTCTGGTCTGGTATGAATAAAGATGTGAGGGACTGGGCACGCTCTTGTGTAAGCTGCCAAAAATCTAAGGTCATCAGACACAATAAATGTCCCTTAGGCTCATTTAAAACTCCCGATGCTCGTTTCGACCATGTTCATCTGGATTTGGTAGGACCTTTACCAGATTCAAATAGATACTCTTACCTCTTAACCTGTGTAGATCGTTTCACTCGATGGCCAGAAGCAGTACCTATCAAGGACATCACTGCTGAAACAGTGGCCAGCACCTTCGTCGAACGACGTGTAGCAAACTTCGATTGCCCTTCCACCATCACTACAGACCACGGACGTCAGTTTGAGTCTGAACTTTTCCGTCGTCTGACCACACTATTAGGAAGCACTCGCTTCCGAACGACCGCCTACCACCCACAAGCAAACGGGTTGGTAGAACGTTTTCACCGACAACTAAAAGCTTCACTATCAGCTGCAAACGTTTCACAGTGGACCGACGCTCTTCCACTCGTCTTACTAGGTATCCGCAATGCAATGAAAGCTGACATAGGATACACCGCGGCTCAACTCGTTTATGGAACGATACTTCGATTTCCAGGAGAATTCGTGGATCCTTCATCCTCTTCAATGAGCATGGATCTTACCTCCTACACGAACAGGCTTACAAACGCAATGCGTTCAGTTAAACCTGCTTCCACTCGACCTCAATCAACTGATATTTTCGTTCAACCTGACTTACGATATAGTAAACACGTTTTCGTTCGTCGAGACTCGCATCGACGACCTTTCGAATCAGCATACGAAGGACCTTTCAAAGTTCTTCAACGCGAACCGAAGTACTATATAATCGATAAGAACGGAACCAACGATAGCATAGGCATCGATCGCCTCAAAGCAGCGTATTTAGAAGGAAATCCTATCTA